TAAAATGGCGGGAAATCCGAGCTGCTTTGCGGAGGTCTGCGCTCTCCGAGTGCTTTTCTAGTCTTTCTACTGAACTACACCTGCCAAGACCAAATCACCACAGAGAAGGAAGTGTGCATCTACTGCTAGCTAACATTACAGGTCAGCTGTATAGGACGCCATTAATGTTTACGTCTTGCGCTGTAACGAGCAAGAGCTTCTTGTCCATGAGTAGATGCACACTTCCTTCTGCACAGTGATACAGTTGGTGGGTATAATTTGTTAGACAGAAAATAGTTCTTATATGAAACTGTTCACAACAAGGTCTGTGGACTATTCTGAGTAACCCGGTCATGATATCTGGAAAGAGACATTGCTGTTTAGTTTTTCAAATGTATCCATAGCCACTTTGAGCACCACAGGCCAGTGCCATCTAGTGCCATTATATTAGAAACTTGCGCCAAAACAATCTAGACCGATAAACAGCATTGCAGGTAAGAGGAAAAATATTTATGATTTTTATTAATATTTTTTATTTTGGTGTGTACTGTCGCTTTATGTGGTAAAATAACAGATCTAAACTGCATACCGCATTACTGTTATTATCCTAAATGTGTAGTATTCATGTAGTCCATAGCGAACACAAATCACCTTAAAAGACAAATGTTGGTATTTTTACTTTTAGAAACCACCTCACTGAACCCACAGTATGCATGTCTTTTGACCAACATCCAGCAAGTAGTTTAGACCAAATAAATATCCTTCTTCCTTCCTCTCTCCTTACATATCAAGTAACCCATTCCATAACTGAGCTACACATATCTCCCGGCGAACACGTGGTTCACATCCCGCATTGCCTGTGTGTGTGTGTGTGTGTGTGTCTCTGTGTGTGTCTGTGTGTGTGACGCAACTGCAAAAGCCTGTGTAGACACCCCTAACATTAATATGTGTGTGTATGTACAGTGCACACAGGTAGTGATTTTCTCACCTGAAATATTAACCTTGACGTTGCAGCTTGCATGCCTGTCAGTTGTCCAGCAGCCAATTGGATTTGAGCCTCAGTCTGCACACACCGGCCTCAGCCACTCGTGCAGTGTTTCTCTGTCATTGCCTCAGCGCAGCGAGAGTTAATCTGCTACTAGGCTGCTTAATACGCACAAAGGCAAAACACACAGTAACCTGCTTCCTCAGTATGCTGCACCAGAGCAACGGCTTTAATCTCTGTGTAGGAAAGTTTTTACCTCTGGTGCTGTGTGTGCTTGAATACTGAAACATGACACTTGTGATTTGTAATAACAGCAGATGTATTGCATATCCTTTATTAGAGTCTCATTTGTTTGGAAATTAAAAGATATGGTGTTTCTTTGTATGCATGTGGATGATTATTGAATACATGCTGACAGGCCTGGGGTCAGCTGAAGCTTTCATCAGTGGCAAAGAGTCCGATAAGCACACAGATCCAAACTCAGACAGCCCGGCTGAGAAGACAGCTGCTGTGTCTTTGGACCAGATCCTCTTCCCTGTGGGTCGATGCCGTCTGCGTCTTTTACTCTGTCCAAGGTCCCCTGCAAAGACAGACACACACACTCTCACATGCCGACACTCGAGAGGTGTGTTGTGTTATTTAATGAGTGGGGAGTGTGAGGTGGGCTGTTGTGAGACGCAGAACACGGTGTTTGAAGTTGGTTTTGTCGTCAGCCTCCCTCTTCAGTCTTTCCTGTTTTTGTCTGCTGTTAAATATAGAGCAAAAGCCAAAAAAATAGGTATTTAAAAGTCATTGTATAGTCTTTGAGCTGACTGCAGATGTATATTTATACCTGCTCATCTGTGTTTGAGTTTATATAGTAGTATGTTAGATGTAAAGGTCTGACTGGACAACCTGAAAGGTCATGTGTCAGCAGATTAAATTCCTGGCCAGTAAGCGCGGAGGCCTCATTTATTGTTTTCTACCTGTGTACCAGTCACACAGACTCTTAACTGATCACAAGGTCCAAGAAATACAACCAGTAGCTTCCCCCCACCAAGAACAGGAAGGATCGTGGAGGTCACTTCAGCATTCCAGGGTATCCCTTTACCGCAGGAAACAGCTTCAGAGACATGAGCCAGCGTTTCCTGTTAGAGTGCACAGTGGATACACTCACCTTTCATAACAGTGTGCCACAGTGGATACACTCACCTTTCATAACAGTGTGCCACTCTGAGAACCTCTAAACTCGGCCCGGCTCGGCCCGGCCCGGCCTCGTGCTGTACAGTCGCAGGACTAACCTGCAAGCCGCAGCACTTTTAGGGGGCAAAGTGGTCCGATTACACCCACAAGGGAGGAATGGTGTTCCTGTCCCGCTGTTGTTTTTCTGAAGGCTGCTTGCGCGCTAAGGCTGCGTGTCACAATCTGAGCATCCTGGGTGTCGGAGCCAAGGGTAGATTAGATACCACGGGTCAGCCTGAGTTCTGGTTGTCAGTAAAGGGAATGTTGTTCTCCAGCTTTTTTCCCTCTTCAGCATGTTAACATTTTTTTTCCAGTGCTCATCATGTGTGACTGCAGCTGCTGTTCCCAATAGTTGATTCATAGAGCTGATGACTCCCAATTCCTGAAAATGACCCCCTTAAGCAAACAACCTAGCATTTAATCTAAATCTGGAGAAAATGGAAAATGTTATCTGGACAGTGTTGCAGTGTGGGAAGAAAATTAACTTTGAAGATGCTCAGGGGAGAATTAAAGGGCACGATCACTGTACAAGGCAGTGGTTTACTAAGTAACAGCTTGTAGGTTTGAACGTACAAACTGCACAATAGATGGTTAACAAAGCTGATTTAATTTCAGTGCCAGTTGTAATTGAATCAGAAGTACATTTCATCTTATGTCAGCCTTCCACCAAACAACTTGTCAAGCGATTTCACTGGGTTTTACTCAGTTGATTGTTTGATGTGAGGTGGCCAGTTTGAGCTGTCCTTTTCTCATCTTAATGTTCCAATAAAAATCAAACATGTTTAATGTTTTCATAAGTTTTTAGTCTTGGCTCATGCAAATACTGAAGTTCAATGATGAGATTCTCAACAGCCAATAGGTGCACTCTCTCCAGCACCAAAAAGGAAGCAACAGACCAGGCAGTAAACATGGAGGGGACTCTGGAGAGGTGCAAGAACATGGATAAGTCTTATTTCTCTGAGAACTGGTGGAGTCGTGGAGTCCTCTTTAGTCCATGTTCAATTCGGCGTGTGTCTGATCCACCAGTCGGCACTTATTTTAGTGAGAAATCTTAATCTTTGAAACAGTTCACCTCATTCCCATGATCTCCACGCAGATATTGATGCAGAACTGACACGAATGCTCTCAACATACGTTTTGCTAAAACAGAAGGAATTGTTAATATGTCATATTTCGTAAAGGGAGTTTAGTGTAATTTTTTCCACCTGGAGCAGGATAGGAAATAAACTCAAAAGGGACATTGTTGTAGTCTTTCAAACCATGACCCTGCAAGAACCCCAGTCTTGGCAAAGTCTTGCAGTCTCAGACTAAAAACTCACATTGTTTTTCGATGTGAAAATCTGTCAGACTTTAGTCTTTTAAAAGTTGTTACAATGTCGGCTAGTGTAAGGTAGGCATTTTACAATCCTTTGAGTTGCCAAGCTGTTTTTTTCCATTGTTGTGTCCTGGTGATTTAGGGTTATTTTGTCATGTAGATGCCTGGCCTGTTGGCCTCTCAGCTCAGGCTCTTATTTTTAGATGACAAGCCTCCAGGCTAAAAACATGGCTCCACCTCTGCTTCCCTATGGAATACAACAGGTTGTTGTTTTCCTGGTCACAAACGGACGGGGGACGCCGAAGAGGAAGCAGGCCATGGAGCAGTGTATGAGAAGGGTGACGATGATGAAGGCTTACTATTTCTGAGCAGCCAAACATGTTGTTCACATGGGCCGTTAGCTGCACGGTGGTACGTCGAGTGTTGTTTTTGGCACAGGCGTGTATGGTGTGTGCTCGGGGTGGGCCACTAAAGGAACTCCTGGCAGCAGAACAATAACAGCGCTGGCACAAAGCAGGGTCGGAGCAGGTTAGAGCACGGGATATATTAAAGCCAAGGAGACATGGTGTGTTTCCACATGTGGTTTTTGCTTGTGTGTCTAGAAAGCAAGATTAGCTGACAAAGTTCATGTAGCCTGCTAGATCAGATTGGACGCCGTATTATAGTTGGAACAGGAAGTGGATGTAAACAAAGTACTGTAATGTCATCATGAGGACCCTCTGGGGGAGCACAGAGTGCATGGGATTCCCCTAAATTCTCCCTCAGATATACAAAACAGTTTGCTTCCTTTAAAGTGATGTCCGCCTTTAAACAGTTTAAACTGCCTCATGTGCTGTACTTCATTTTGTACATTGCAGAAGTGATCAGTTAGTGTTGTGATCGCAACAGTTTATGCAAATTCAGCCATTTCCTGTGAATTCTGTGCAACCTTGAAATTGGCATACACTTAAAACCATATTACTGTAACACTATTTTTAGTGAGCCCATTTTCTTGAAGATGACTGCCTCAGTTTAATCAGAACATGTTTTTTCCACTACAGCAGTATCAGAGTTTGATCAAGCAGGTTTCTGTGTCACTCTGTTGTGTCTTTGTAGCCTCATTATTTTACAGTGATAACCAACAGTTATGCCGAAGGATATCTCTATAGAAAACAAAAACATGCCACTGTATCCACTGGTAACAGTCTAAATAAAACAGAATGTGGTGCAGCTACGAGACAGGTTGCATTTTGCTGTTATCCTCAAAGTACAAAATAACCCACGGCTAAAAGAGCAGCTACTATCATAAATGACAAAGGCAACCAGCCAGGTTTTACATTTATGAAGCAGAAACCAGTGAATTTTGGGTATTTTTTTAAGGGAAAATGAATTTTGATAAATCATTGATAATCAAAATTGATTTCTTTACTCCTTGTATCAAAGCTGGTAATTGAAGTAGAAGTGGACTAGGCATGTTTAAGAAATGTGTGTTAAAAAAAGCCTTTCCCTCTTCATCCCCAGATGTGCACCCCAGCCAACACACCAGCGACGCCCCCCAACTTCCCGGACGCGTTGACCATGTTCTCCAGGCTGAAGGCGTCCGAGAGCTTCAGCAGCAGCGGCGGCAGTCCCATGGCCGCCTCCATGGCCACCTCCCCCCCGCCCCCCCAGGTCGGCAACTGGGGGTTCTCACCAAACGTACCTAATGTGCCGCAACCTCCACAGGGACTCTGGACTCAGGGGCAGCCCCCCACGCAGCCCTGCCCCGCCTGGCCCACGGGCGTGAACCCTCACGCAGGCGCTGAGCAGAAGGCTAGTGTAGCGATGGAGGCTGAGAGATGAAGGGCAGCATGGGACTGAAATGCCCCCCCCCCTTTCCCACCCCAGGGAGGGAGGAGAACGGGGGGTTGCTGAATGCGGGGAGGGGTGGGAGATGATAATGGGTAGAAATGGGTTTTTCTTTTTCCCAAAAGACGGATGGATGTGGAAAGAGATGGAAACTACGCAAACCAAGAAAAACTGGACAATTTAAGAAGAGGAGAAAAACCAATGCAAACGTCAATACAAAAATAGAAAAAAAAAGATACGCACACACATAGTAATAAGAGAGGAGAGCAACTGAAATCTTTGTTAGTTTTTCCTAAGTAAATGCATAGATAAGAGAAATATTATTGAACTAAAAAAAAAACAGAAATTTTTAAAAAATTGTCACGCCCAAGGATTCTATGTGATGTTTAAGGACATTCAAGGCAGCAAACTTAATTTTCTGTTTATTTTTTGTTTAGTTTCTTTTTTTTTTTTTTCCATCTTTTCAGCCAGTGTTTTTTCACCACTGGTGTTCTGTGTTTCTGCAACTGTCTGTGCTGCATGAGGAGAGAGGAACTTGCAATGCAGTGTTTTGAGATTGACTCAAAAATCAACACGCACTTGAGTGTGAGTGTGTACGCATGTGAGCGGGTGGTCAGTTTTTAATCAAAAATGTATACACACACACACACACACACACACACACACACAAATACACACACACATATTAGCGTTTAGAGGAAAACACCTCCATACTGTCATCCCCATCGTCAAAGGTGGGACTTTTCTTACCTCACCTGGTGGTCACCTGACTTCTTTCAGCCAATCAGGGATTCTTCTTAAACCAACCGTTGCCGCCACAGGACACGTTTTTAAAGGTTTTTTCTTAAAGGCAGCAGCCACTCTGGTTTATGCTAACTGATCCTTGCTGCAATGGCTTTTCCTGACATAGTTTTAAACCTGGACTCAGACTACAGCTGTCCACTGTATACTTTCTTTTTCCTAGAGATTTGGGTTATTACAAGAAAAATGAGAAATCATGGTTTAATATAATATCGTTTATAATGCTAATTTTTCTGTTTTTTGTTGAAAGGTTAAGGGAGGTGGTTTTGAATATGGGTGGGACTTCAGTTTTTTGTTTTGGGAAAGAATCAAACGCAGCTAAAACGGCTACAGATTTAAAAGAGAGGAAAAAAAACACGACTACTCCATCTTTGTAAACAGAATTGCCACTTTGCATGATGTGTTCATAACGTGTAACATCTTTTGTAGCAAACATACATGAGGTTGAGACATGTTTATGGGAGGGGGTTGAGTTGGAGACGAGGGCGGGATGGTGGGTCTCATTCCCAGATCTAATAGAGATGCAACAGATGAGCGTTTCTCAGCAAATCAGCAGTGTCTCACTGTAAAAGTAAAATTAGACTACGTGTTTTGTCGGATATGAGAAACTAAGAGAAGACAATGGGTGTGGGGCAGCTTCGGGAAGCCCACCGCAGGCTATTTGGGGACACTACAGACTACTTTCATATATATATCTATACACACCCTCAGATACTGTCCTCCAGAGGGGTTTTTACAACATTTAGGTCTCTAGTTTTGACCGGTCCCTGGTCCATTGATACTGCTGAGGGACAGTTCAGGGATGACCCTGATATACGGCAATATTTTAAATACAGGGTCTGCCCCTTTTTTAGTTCGTCCTGTTTGAATTATTTTTCATTCGATACAAGAAAAGTGAGAAGAGATATTTTGAATAGCCGAAGGTCTTTTTTTAAAAGCAAAAAAAATGGGGAAATTATGGATATAATAATGAATAAATAAGCAACTTCCTTTTTTATTATTTAGACTAATGTTTGAGTTCATCCTTTTTCCATGCTTCATACTTTATTTGGTTAAATCAGAGCATTTCTGGGTGGGCCTGTTCCTAAATGGTTTCTCATGTATGTTTCCCCACTTGTATGACTGTATGAGACCATTCCCACAATATTTGTGGACTACCTGATAATTAACTTATCATTTTTGTGAACCTAAATAAATATTGTATGTCAACCTAAGCGGCATGGTTTACTGTAGCGTGAGTATATCGGCTTACGCGTTGATTGAATATGACATTTTAGTCATATTGTAGACATAAAGTCAGAGCATTGGTGTGTGTGTGAGAAGTAGAGACACCAGAGCAGTGTGTTAAATAATGACAGTGGGAAGATGGATGCATCATAATCTCACGCTTGGCTACCTCTCAGCCAGGCGGATTTAATACAGTCACCCAGCCAGACTACAAAGTCATGTTGAACAAACCTCTGTCTTTTTCCGTGCCTCTCTCTCTCTCTCTCTCTCTCTGTGTGTCTGAGAACTAAGAAGTCCGTCTGATGTTTTGGAGTGAGAGGGGGCCAGAGATGAAAGCCGAAACAGAGAAGAGACAGAAAAGCTTTTGAAAGAGAGAGTTCGGCTCTGCGGCCATTGCTATCTTCGCCTCCCTGAATTCACTTCTCTTCAGATGTAAACACAAACAAACGCCAGCTGTCCACACACACCACACTCACACACACCACACATGCCAGTGGTAATGGCGGCAGTGGTCATGGTGGTGGTGATAAAAGAGGGGTCACAGAGTTCTCAATGTCCTCGGCTCACCTCCTGGCTCCTTCCTCCTCTACAGGAAATAAAGCAGATTCCTTTTGCTGATTGTGTGCGCTGCTTTGCCAATCTTTGAGCTGCGACAGTGAGGTCCAGCAAATGCTGACAGCTTGGCATCGGGTGATGCGGTGCAGCAAACTATGTGGGAACAGGAATAGTAATAAACACAGGGTTCGTCCAAGAGCAGCACAGCATGGCCCAGTGTGATATGAAGGCAGTAGATGGGGTCCAAAGGCCATTGTTGCTTGATTCTGACTTATTTCCCTTCCTAGTTTTCCCAAAAAAACAAATTTGAATTGTTTAATTGCTAATGTTAAGTACTCAGTTCTTCTATTTACTTCTAGTAAACTACTGATTTAAACAAACAACATATTCTGAAGTCAGCACTTTGCTGGGAAGAGCTGCCACCATCTATCTACATTTTAATTCATCAGATTACATGACTGAATCTACTTGCATTAAAAGAGGATGAGAAAACGCAGCCTCTATCATCAACGTGTCAACTGTTAGTATGCTGTTGTGGAGCGATAACTGCTCTGTTCAATTTATCTATCCTTCACACAAAAGCAGGACATTGTTTTCTGGGTCACTGGATGGTGTGGACATAACTGCCTCACAGATGGCCCACCATCAGTACACCTGTCTCGCTTCATGTGTAAACATTGCTATATTAGCTAGCTGCTGTAGGGCACTTGGGGTTTACCATTGGTAAATGTGTTTGACCTCAATTTAGATGTTAACTGTATTTTCAGTAAACACTTGAGAAGATTTCCAGCCTCTTTTGGCCTCGGTTCATTTCAAGATACAAGATGGGATGTTATAAAATCAGTTTAAGTGCTCTACAGCACATATTTTACATTAAAACAGAACTAGAAGAACTTAAAAAATTACTTAAAGGTGCCCTCTGGAGTTTCTGACCACTAGTAGTGCTGTAGAGCAATGTTTTTAACAGTGGAACCTTGTTTCGTTTTTAAGGAGCGCTGTTCACACTATTCCAAAGATGCTCTATGACAAAAGGTAAAGCATTATAATCTGCAACAGTGGTATTAAAAGGTATACCTATTGGTCTCCTTAGTGGGTGTAGTCTCCTCTCCTGCTTATCCCCGAACTCGTTAGGAAGTGTTGTAAATGTCGTGTGGATGGATGATGCAAATTCAAAACCCTAAATACCCCCTCCAAAAATAGCTGAATAATAACAATAATAGTATTATTAGACAAAGAAACTTGAGTTTTATTTCAGTTTTAACTTTGAATTTACAGTTTCACATATAAGTCATTTTAAATTTCTGTTTATCCGGCTGGAAAACTACGTCAGCAGCACTCCAGTGAAACCGGACCGATGGTTCGGCACCACAGAAAGAGGAGATTCTATTACCAGATCTTGTGAGAGTTGGTTACTGAGACAGATACATGTCTGGAAAGAAGTTAATTTTTTGCCTGATATGTCTGCCTGAAAAAGCCATTTCGATGTCAGAATGTTCGGAAGATTTGTGCCTTGTGAAAAGTGGGTCCAGTATTTACTTTGGTGACTGTGGGACCAAAGACTGGATCATAATCTGTACTTACTTTCACTTTTCCCATTGCAATGGGTGGAATCGGGACTGCTGCTCATCTCCTAAAGGGGCAGGGCAGTGGCGACACCCACGTGATGGTCTCTGGCTACTCTCCTGATTGACTGTTGGTGGCAGAAACACACCAAGAAGTGTAGCAATGTGCCAACAAAAGCAGTGACGAAGAAGACCGCTAGCAAGCAAACATGGATGTCAACAGTGCACAATTTAGGGGTATGCACGATTTGTTTTGGTAAGGAACACCAACCTTGTTTTTGTCCACAGGACATATTTAAAAAATGACAGTCCAGTTAAAGTTTCATTTTATTTTACGTATGGATACACACTGGCTGTTACCAAGGGCTATTTTTCACTATTTTTTTGTCTTATTGATAGCAAATTTAGTCCTACTTGAGCTTGAATCTTGAGCAACAGCAAGTAAAAATTGAATTTGGAGAGACAATAATTTTAAAAATTCAATGATTACAATTTTAAGGCTCAAGTTGAGCACAAAGACAGCATAGTATGCTAGGTATAGGCTCAAAAGAGGCCTGTGTGGCCAATGAGCTAGTTCGTCAATGCTAACAAAAGAAATATGATTTTATCTTTGTTAAAACGATAAGGAGCTCAAGTTTAACAATCAAGTAGAGAAGTAGATGTCGACAGAAAACTTAAGTATTATGGTCCGGCTTTTTAGAATGACAGATAAAAGAGAAAATACAAGTTTAGCCGAGGCTATAGGGAGCAGAAGCTAGCTTAAAAAGGGCCTGTGATCACCATTTAAAATGTACTTCATTAGAGCCTGCCAGTTTAAATGGATGGTCCTGTTTGTACCGTTCAATCATTATCATGGATTAGAAAACTAGGCTTGTAAATTGGTGTCGGCATGAGGCAACACTATGCATAGCCGTGAGATTAGCGGGTACACTGTTTGAAGCAACTGTAGAAATGGACAGGGTGCTTGCAGGGCAGGACAGAGGACACTGCGCATTGTGTGGAGGTGTGCAGAGGAGCAGAACGGACAAAGTGACATTGGGTGCGTTTGTAACCTGGCACGTCACCTTCCCCCCGTTCTCTCCACAGGTGGAGGCTCCAGCTCTGCACCGGACAGGCTGCAGCTAGCAGCAGGAAGTGGGAGAGGTGAAACACACACACATTCACACACACCCATTGCACAATATGAGTCAGACTGAGAAAAAGTTATGTGAAAAAGGAAATAATTGCGATATATACCGACAGAGTGCCAACTGAATGAGGGTTGCACATCATGGAAAAACACACTGTTGCGTGAAATTCATCAGCCGATGTTTCGAAGGGATTTTGTCTGATAATACAGAAACGGACAGTCAAAGGGATGCTGGACAGAACTTAGGGGACAAGAACAAATAACAAAGCTTTGAATCTTTTGAAAGGAACTGTGCATCATGTCAAGTCAGCGGCAGTCAAAGTTCAGAGCTGGTAGAAATGACTCGGAAAATGAGCAGCTGTGTGTCTTAATGATGGCGCATCAATCACTCAACCTGTCTCAAGCTGTGGTCCTGGTTTTGGATTCTTGTTTGTTCTGTCTGAGACAAAAAGAAGATGCTTTGATGGAGGAATTGTGACTGTTACAACTGCATGCTAATGTGACAATGCCTTCTGTCTTTGTACACAATACTTTAAGCTGCTACATGTAACATTTTTAAACCCTGAAATATTGCTATGAAGTTAGCCATGATGAACACATAATGATGTGGTTAAGATGATAAATGTCTATTTTCAAATGTTTGCGTTTTAAATTTAATACATTTACCATAAGCTCAGCATTTTCCTGTCTGTTTCAGTTGTTCCCAAATGAGGAGAAAGTGTATGCAGTTGCACAAGCTAAAGAAAAAAGAGTGCTCCAGCTTTTTTGTGCGGCTGTTCCAAACACTTCTTATTGAAAATCTTTAACTTTTCAGAAAGGCACTGGTGACATCACTGGCACTGTTTGAGCTACTGTATGATATATCAGTCAAAAAACGTAACATCCATCCATTTTCATCCGCTTATCCGGGGCCGGGTCGTGGGGGCAGCAGGCTGAGCGAAGCACCCCAGACATCCCTCTCCCCAACAACACTTTCCAGCTCCTCCTGGGGGACCCCAAGGCGTTCCCAGGCCAGATGAGATATGTAATCCCTCCAGCATGTTTTGGGTCTGCCCCGGGGCCACCTACCAGTGGGACGTGCCCGGGACACCTCCAGTGGGATGTGCCCAGGAGGCATCCTGATCAGATGCCCGAACCACCTCAACTGACCCCTCTCGACGCGAAGGAGCAGCGGCTCTACTCCGAGCTCCCTCCGGATGTCCGAGCTCCTCAGCCTATCTCTAAGGCAGAGTCCAGCCACCCCACGAAGGAAACTCATTTCCACCGCTTGTATCTGCGATCTAATTCTTTCGGTCACTACCCAGAGCTCATGACCATAGGTGAGGGTTGGGACATAGATGGACTAGTAAATCAAAAGCTTTGCTTTCCGGCTCAGCTCCCTCTTCACCACAACGGACCAGCGCAGCACCCGTATCACTGCAGAAGCCGCACAGACCCGCCAATTCATCTCACGCTCCATTCTAACCTCACTCGTGAACAAGACCCCAAGAAACTTGAACTCCCTCGCTTGAGGCAGTAACTCTCCCCCAACCCGTAAACGGGTCAACAAAGACAAAAAAATGCGGGAGCAAAATGACCAGACACTGAGTGTCGCATTGTAAGCGTGTTCTTAACTGTGTATCAAACCCTCTGTTAATGGTAGCATTATGTTAGCTACCTAAATAATGTTAGTGTCAATACTGTTGTCATAGAAACACACCCACGCATACCATGTCATTAAAAAGAGCACTGGGAGCACTTT